CAGCATGGGGTAACTGCCGCCATTTTTCAATTATCTACCATTGGGTCCATCCCACGACACATGGGGATTATGGGAAGTAGGAACTACAAGATAAGATTTGGGTGGGAACACAGCTGAACCATGTCATTCCTCCTTGGTCCCTCCCAAATCTTATGTCCTCATGTTTAAATACACAATCATGCCATTCCAGCCATTTCCCAAAGTCTTAATTTTTTCTACCATTAACCCAAAAGTCCAAGTCCAAAGTCCTATCTTTGTATTTTACAGGTTCTGAGGAGGAAGGCACATCCCTTCCTCCTCAGAGCCTGTAAAATCCAAAGCAACTTTATTACTTTCAAGGTACAATGAGGTTACAGGCATTGGGTAAATATACCGGTTCCAGATGGGAGACATTGGCCAAAATAAAGGGGCTGCAGACCCCATGCAAGTTTAAGTCTGAAATTTAGTGGGGTAGCCAAATCTTAAAGCTCCAAAACTCCATGTCTCACATCCAGGTCATGCTGATCCAAGAGATGGGTTCCCACAGCTTTGGGCAGCTCCACCCCTGTGGCTTTGCTGGATATGGGCCCCTCCTGGCTGATTTCATGGGCTGGCGTAGTGTATCTGCCGCTTTTTCCAGTCACATGGTGCAGCTGTAGGTGGATCTACCATTCTGGGGTTTGGAGGACGGTGGCCCTCTTCTCTCAGATCCATTAGGCACTGCCCCAGTGGGGACTCTATGTGGGTCCTCCCACCCCACATTTCCCTTCCGCACTGTCCTGCTAGGGTTCTCCATGAGGACCCCACCCCTGCAGCAAACTTCTGCCTGAAGATCCAGGCGTTTCCATACGACCTCTGAAATCTAAGTTGAGGAGGTTCCCAAACCTCGATTCTTTAGTTCTGTGCACTCTCAGGCTCAACATCATGTTCCAAGGCTTGGGACTTGCACCCTCTGAAGCCACAGCCCATGCTGTACCTTGGCCTCTTTTAGCCATGGCTGGAGTGGATGGAACACCGGGCACCAAGTCCCTAGGCTGCACAGAGCAGTAGGGCTCTGGGCCCAGCTCACAAAATCATTTCTCCCTCCTGGGCATCCTGGCTTGTGATGAGAGGGTTTGCCACTAAGGTCTCTGACATGTCCTGGAGACATTTTGCCCACTGTCTTGGTAATTAACATTTGGCTCCTCATTATTCCTCGTTACTTATGCAAATTTCTGCAGCCAGCTTGAATTTCTCCCCAGATAATGGGATTTTTGTTTCTATCATATGTTAAGCCTGCAAATTTTCCAAACTTTTATGCTCTGCCACCTCTTGAACTTTCTGCTGCTTAGAAATTTCTTCTGACAGATAACCTAAATCATCTCTCTCAAGTTCAAAGTTCCACAGATCTCTAATGCAGGGGCAAAATGTCAACAGTCTCTTTGCTAAAGCATAGCAAGAGTGATCTTTGCTCCAGTTTCTTATGAGTTCTTCACCTCCATCTGAGACCACCTCAGCCTGGGCTTCATTGTCCACATCACTATCAGTGTTTTGGTCCAATCCATTCAACAAGTCTCTAGGAAGTTCCAAACTTTCCCACATCTCTCTGTCTTCTTTTGAGCCCTTCAAACTGTTCCAACCTCGGCCTGTTACCCAGTTTCAAAGTCACTTCCACATTTTTGGGTATTTTTATAACAGCACCCCACTCTCTGTGGTACCAATTTACTGTATTAGTCTGTTTTCACACTGCTGTGAAAAAATACCTAAGACTGGGTAATTTATAAAGAAAAGAGATATAACTGACTCACAGTTCCACATGGCTGGGAGGGCCTCAGGAAACTTACAATCATGGCAGAAGGGAGATGTAAAAAAACAAGGCACCTTCTTCACAGGGTGGCAGGAAGGAAAAGTGCCAAGCAAGGGGGAGAAGCCCCTTATAAAACCACCAGATCTCATGAGGATACACTCACTATCACAAGAACAGCATGAGGTAACCTTCCCCATAATTCATTTACCTCCCACAGAATCCCTCCCAGGACACATGGGGATTATGGGAACTACAATTCAAGATGAGATTTGGGTGGGGACACAACTAAACCATATCACAGATGGAATTACTAAGAAGCAGTTTAACACCAATAAAGGACTGTTGTTAAGGGATGTTTTTCCTATTATCTTATTATCCTTGTTTTTATTATTGCTGTGGTTGCTTGTTTTCTCTGATAACTAATAGAGCTCCCATTGTATCTGATTGCTTGTTCCTTATGAGATATTCACCAATGCTGGAAAATAAGAATGTAATCATTTGTTATAACTGTATCTTCTCTGCATAATTTCAGTGTGTTTATAAAATGTTGTTCTTACATAGTTGACCAATCAAACGTATCTGCAATAAGCTATTTCTGTATGACATGATCTTTGTATCCTGAAACCACAAGTAACTTTCAAAGACTGAGTTTACATCTCAATGTAAGCCTATCATATACTGATGGATGGCATAGGCTGGGACATATCATGACTTAAAAAGAGAAAAATGTCTTGAGAAGATAGACCAACAGATGACTTTTGCCTTTATGTCAGCAGCTTCTTTTCTACGAGGGAAAACAGGCCACGTCGAATGGATCATTGATTCCACACAATATGAATCAAAAGCAGAAAAACGCGGTGATTTAACATGGTATCGGCCAATCAAGAATGAATATAGAATCAACCACTGGAACTTGGACCTCACTGCCAGAGCATCTGAGCTGACTGTATATTTCCTTACCCCAGCAGATGGATCCTGCCCCTGCTGGAGCCATCCCCCCAGTGTCCTCTGCTGCATTTCACTTCTCCCCTCCTCACCTCATTTATTCCATTCTTGAAAGAGAGCAGCCTATGTGGTTAACATTAGAACCAGAGGGTCCTACACAGTAGCATCTGAAGCTGGTTGTAGGTATATTGAAGGCATGTGCCTTCTTAGCCCAGGGAATGCAATCTCTCGAGGGACAATGCCTGCTGCCTTTCACGAGGACCTCACTCAGGGTGCCTGGAACCCCTTCTGAGAGCAGGAGTGGAAAGCAGAAGCTCCCAAGGGGACTGAGCTTTACCTGCCTCAGAAACCTAAGCCTTTCCCAGAAAGTGCAGCTCTGCCACCACCTGTGACTCCTGGAGTTGCCAGTGGAAGCAGGAACGGACTGTCTTTCCCAGGGCAAAGCTATGAGAAATGCAGCCTAGAGACACACACCCTGCCAGTCTCTGATGCCAGCTCCTTTTGTTTCCATGAAGCTACTTAATGAGATTCTTCATGCATAAAATTAATTTTTGCCCTCTTCTATTAGCTTTTGCCACTAAAGGATTTATGCACAATTCTGTCAGATTTTATTTATATGTGCAATAAAGGGGACCCAGATCATAATGAAGGCTTTTATGGGCAATGATGGGAGATACAAAGGGAAGCTGAGAGCGGGCAGCCATCCAGGCTCCCTTTAGATGCCAAGGTGCATTATGCAGGAGACACCCCCTGCAGAAATGCACTAGGTCCTCCCTAATCAGAGCCATACCTCAAGTCAGATCCTAATTCATTGCTGGGGGAGAGGGGGAGGAACAGGGCTATTAATAAACAGTGCAAATAATTAGGCTTTATGGGAATTTGGTTGTTTTCTTACACACTAGATTTGCTCTCAATCTCTTCTCAAATGTGTCCTGCTCGACTGCCCCACAGCCAGTGGCTTACTGCATTGATTGCCCACTGGGAAGTTTTCTGGAGCTGGGATGGGAACAGGGCTGGGCAACATGCTTGTTTGTAATAACGGCTCTTGTTCACTGAGCATCCCCTAAGGACAGGCTCTGAGCCAGGCACTGTGCTGACATGATTTCACATAATCGTCAAAACAGCTGGTAGGACAGCTATTGTCAGTCCCACTTTAAAGATAAGGAAACTAAGGATCAGAGAGGTTTCATAGCTGCTTGAGTTCACATCCCAGTCCTTACAGAATTAAGCACCCCACTTCTTTACATAAAGGGATATCTGTTCCCTTCTCCCTACAAACTTCTAAGTCATCAATCAATCTCCAGGCTAGAAAGGACATTAGTGTGATGTTTAGAACAAGCATCAGACTGGGTACAGGACTCGGCTTCTATTCCTCCTCCCATTTTTATTGATGAATGCTGTGTGACCTTGAGCAAATCACTCCACCTCTCTGACTCAAATTCTTCTGTCAAAAAATGAGAGGATAAACTCAAGGGGCCTGTTCAGTTCTGGCATTTTTATTCTGGAGCACTCTCTTCACATAGTTAACACAAGAGTGTGTGTAAAGTGCATATGTTAGCCTACAGACAGAAACAGCACTCATTTTTCAGAGCTAAAATACTTGGAGCTACGCCACTGCACAGAGAACACTAGGACAGTCTTCGGATTCCTAAAGCTGTGACTGACTGCCAAACTGCGGGGGAACATCAGAGACATTTTTCTTGTTCACCCTCCTCTTGCCAACAGGAGAGATTAAGAATCACAAAGACAACCAAAATGAAAGTTGCATGAGATGGCTGAGGGCTGACAACTGAAGATGAAGAGCTCAGTGGTACAGTTTAGCCTTTTCCACGATGGGCACTTTGCTGTGGAGTTCCAGACATTATATGGGGATTTCATTTTCAGGAAAGCTATACTCTGTTGGCATCTTACATTTCCAACAAAAATATTTTCACTGACCATTTGAGTCACAGGAGAAACTGTTTTTTTCTTTTTTTTTTTTTTTTTTAGTTGGAGCCTCACTCTGTTACACAGGCTGGAGTGCAGTGGCGTATCGGCTCACAGCAACCTCCATCTCCCCGGTTCAAGCAACTCTCCTGTCTCAGCTTCCTCACTAGCTAGGATTACAGGTGCATACCACCACACCTGGCTAATTTTGTATTTTTAGAAGAAACAGTGTTTCACCATGTTGGTTAGGCTGGTCTCGAACTTCTGACCTCATGATCCATCCATTTCGGCCTCCCAAAGTGCTGGGATTGCAGGCATGAGCCACCATGCCCAGCCAGGGAAGAACTTTTTTTTTTTTTTTCCATTCAACTGTCACTTTATTCCAAGATGGTAGAATTAACTACAAATTTATAACCTGATAATCTTTAGTCAGGCAGCAAGATTTTATAGAGGCAAACTGCTTATTCAGAAGTGATCACAGAACAACTCGAATGCAGAGTAAGAGGGATAAGAAACATCTGACTGGCCGATAGAGATATTCTCTCACTATATGAAACAAACTTTTCATTTTTAGGAGAGGTAAACCATAACTTCAGTAGACACTAATACAGAAAGATTTTGTCAAATCGACTAGTTTCCATTTAGTCAGTCAACTGTTTCTAGCTGTCTCAACTGGGATAGATACATTTACATAACTGGTGTGCTTGAACCTTCTTTGCCAGCAGCTTTAGGTCCGCAGTACACTGGGCAATTGCCTCTTTTCCCTGCTGTGCAGACATGCTCTGCACCACGTGCTTCTCCACCCAATTTATCACGTGCTCTTGTTCCTTCCCACGCATCATTCTCCACACAGATATATGATAGTCCAGGCGATTCTTGACTTACTTATATACTCTATAAAGTCGTTCCCAGTAAGTAACAGCCAAAGCCATAGCAGTGTTATTCCTCTGCACATCAGAAAGGTAATGGTGCTTCTGAACCAGTGCCAGCTATGAGTTCTCCAAATCAGTTGCATCCTGAACTTGCTTGATGGAAGCCTCCTTCACCTCTTCTAGTTGGGCAAGTTTTTGCTCATTGAGTTTATGAGCAAATTCTGCAACAGAGACACCATATTTTTTTTAATTGCATAGACAAGTAACCCTACTACTGATAAAGTAGAGAAGGTGTCTGCGATAAACAGATACATTTCTTAGATAAAGCATACAACATAAGCCCAGTTCCAAGCACATAGGGTCCTGTTACACTGGTTTTAGGATAAAGAAACTGGAAGAATTCCTGAGGGATCAATCCACGATGAACTTTTCCTCCATATTCAGGAAGAAACGGTAGAGGGGCAAGGTGTGGCTGCCCTGTGTGAAAGGTCCTTGTTGCCTGCAATACCCCTGGACCTAGGAAGGCTGCATTCTTCAGAGAGGGGGCCGCTGTGCAGGCCGCAGAAAGTACCACCAGGGACAGCATGGTCAGCGAAGGTCCAGGAAGGAACTTTTAAGACACAGTATGATGCCTGTCCCCTACTATGGGTTCTGTGTCTTTTTCTGCTGCAAGAGAATGATCACAGCCTCAATCATTTGTCATTCAACAAATAGTTAGATCCTACTGTGCTCTAAGCTCCATGCCAGGTTTCCAAGATGAAAAGAAAGTGCTGAAAAGTTCTGAAAGTGTTCAAAGTCTGGTGGAAAAAGCAAATAATTTCATCCAATGCAAGATGAGGACTGTGGCATAGAGGGTGTTGTGGGTGTTTGGAGGATGGTCACCTTGCTAAATACGGGTAGACTCTGGGGAAGGCATTCATGTGAGTTAAGGCAGGAACATGTCATTAATTCCAAGAAGAGTAGGTGCTTGAGCTGATTGTTGCAGGATGAGTAGAAATTAGCCAGGCAAGTGAGTGAGAGGACAGTGTTCCAACAGAAAAGTAGATCCCTGTACTCTGATCGTGCCATGTCTGAGTTAAAGTGTTGCCTAAACAGAGAATCAGAACCCTGTTCTCTCAGAGGCATTTTCAGTCATCACTGTGTGGAATGTTTAAGTCCCCAGTATATGGAGCTCTCTCTCTCTTTCCTTCCAGGAAACGTAATTATAAAATATCTTCCTAATAATGTCTGTTAAAACTCTTCAATGGAAGAACCACACAGAGGAGAAACGAATGAGAGGAATCAAAGAAACAGACCCAGTGAAACCCCAGCCTCCCACCCCAACCCCAGTGCTCCACGGAGTGAGTCCAAGGCTCAGTAAAGCCAAGGACTGATTCCAAAAGAAAGACTCAGGAGAAAGCAGAAAAGGATCTTAACAAGGCAGCAACTTTCCCCTAAGCAACTCTTAGCCCAGACATTAAATCAGCAGCAGAAAAATGTGAAGGAGTATAGAGGAACACATCTTTGCTCTCTTTAACTCTTAAGAAAGAAATAAAAAGATAGAAAATAGATTGCCATGAACTAACAGCTACACCTGAGTACAACCAAGAACAAGAAGTGTTTTCTATGTATCATGGCAATGGGTGGAAGATACTAAGCATGCCTTAGAGCATCATCCCAACCACCCTCAGCCAGATGAGAGATGCCACCTGAGATGAGGGAGATGGGAGAAGGCGCATGCCTTTCCTTTTTAAGTTCTTGCTCAGCCACAAAACGTGAATTTGGCAGATGGGGTAAGGGAGAAAGGTGCTGTTAAGTGTCCAGATGAATAATCAATGCTGTAATGCTGGAAGAAGTCTTTCACAGCACCATCAAAAAACAGCATCTTCATTTTCTCCTCCATGAACTACCGTATTTCCACAGTAGAAACAGCGATAAGGAGATGAGGTGAAAGTTATGCAAAAGAGACAAACTTGATAAAAACAAGTAACAAAACATTGAACAACTTCTTGTGACTTACATGCAGAGAAGGGAAAAAATGTTTTTACGAAAGAAAGCCATAGAGGACCTCCTGGGAAGTATTGTGAGCTTTTCTTTTGCACTCTCATTGTTACATTGTTTTTTCTGATTACTGAAATGAGGGAGGTCCTTTGTATAACATTTAGGAAGTACACAAACACACAGAAAGCAAACAACATTTATACCTTAAAGAATTTTAACTCTTGCAGACGAAATATTTTAATGGGAAAAAGAGAAGAAGAGATGGCAAAAAGCTATGTGTGCTTTGACCTCTGAATTAGGCGGCAAATAATTGAATAACATAAGCATCATCTCTACTAATGAATTTATATTAAATTACATAAATTCTTGCAGATACTTAATCAACAAAAGTAAAAGTAATTGACACAGAGTATTTTGGTATGGTAGTCATTTACACCAAAATGTCAACATAGTTAATACCATGAAGTATTATACCCAGCAGAGCTCCCTGCTCCATCCCATCCACGAGCCTCATTTGCTCCTTATTTTATCCATTACTTTTTCCCTTTTGGCCAGTTCTATACTGATGAAAGTGACACCAGTGACTTGTCAAGGCACAGAATAGAGTAAATGTCAAGGAGAGAATGAAGTTAAAAGCTAAAAGTGTTCTTAGGACAGATCAAAATGTTTTATTAAGCTTTTCTTCTGCAACCCCCTTTTACTTGTAGATATGAGGCCTGGGCAGGGCAAGGAAGTCTCTCCACTGGGTGTCAACAGGACAGGTTCTTTGTTGTTGACATTTACGCTTACCTCTTACACTCAAGCTGCGAATACTGCAGTCCTTGGTTAAAGTAGGCTGCTACAGGTTCTCACCTGGCAACACAGGTTTTGCACCTATGCCTATCTATGGTGCAAGCAGCCCCTCACCCTGCCCACTCATAGGTTAGCAAATGGAGTGAGTCAAGCCCAGGCTAGGCCATGGGTTGCTCATGGAAAGCCCAGGGAGAAACATTGCCATTGCTCCCACTGGCTGCCACAAGGGCTAACCAGCTCAACACCCATTAGATTCATGTTCTCAGAGGGTTTTCTGTTATTATTATCCCATGAATGACTGAGGCCATAGTGATTTTGGAGTTCCTAAAGAGAGATGAGTATAATTGGTCTTAGGAAAAGAGCCCTGCTGTCAACCACCCTTTCATAGCACCATCGAAAAACAGCATCTTCATTTTCCCCTGCACGAACTACCGTATTTCAACAGCAGAAACAGAGGTAAGGACACGAGGTGAGGATTATGCAAAAGAGACAGACTTGATAGAAATAAGAATGATAGAAATAAGAATAACAATGATCCTAATTGTTATTCTTATTTCTATCATGTCTGTCTCTTTTGCATAACCAAGGATTATCGTCTATAGTAAGTGTTCACTGGTAGGAAGTTTATAAAAGAAACCCAAAAATGAATGTACCACAAAAATATTACCAAGAAGTTCAGGAGATTCTCTTTTCAGAGGCACCAATTTTTTTTTTTTTTAACAAATTACTAGGTAAATGCATCAGACTATGGCATAGTCATATCAGAGCAATAACTTTTCAATTTCTAAACAAAGTGGGAGGAAGAAAATTAAGGGATCTGGTTAAAAGATATACAAATTATCAAGATGTTTTATCACGCTATAACAGGATATCACAAACTGGGTAATTTATAAAGAAAAACATTAATTTCTCAAAGTTCTGCAGGCTGAAAAGCTCGATACCCAGGTGCTAGCATTTTGTAAGAGCCTTCTTGATGCATCATAACACGGCAGAATGGCAAACAGGATTAAAGAAAGCAAGAGGGGGCCGAGCTTGTTCTTTCTTTTTGAAATGGAATCTCTCTGTGTCGCCTAGGCTGGAGTGCAGTAGTCCAATCTCGGCTCACTGAAACGTTTGCCTCCTGGGTTCAAGCAATTCTCCTGCCTCCAGCTTCTCAAGTAGCTGGGATTACAGGCACATCACCACGCCCAGCTAATTCTGTATTTTCAGTAGAGATGTTGGTCCAACTGATCTCGAACTCCTGACCTCCAGTGATCTGCCTGCCACAGCCTCCCAAAGTGCTGGGATTACAGGCCTGAGCCACAGTACCCGGCCTCCAAGTTTTTTTTTGTTTGTTTTTGTTTCTTTTTTCTAAATATATATATATTATATATACATGTATTTATATATATATACATATATATGTGTATATATGTACATTATATATATAATATACACACATATATACACATATATATGTATATTTTATATATATATATATACTTTTACTCATTTAATCCCCATAACAAACCAAGGAGGCATGTAATATTATTATAACCATTTTAGAGATGAAGAAATTGAGGCAGATAGAGGTTAATTTGCCCTAATTATGCAGGTAAAACAAGAGGAGACAACCTGAAATGTCTGCCGCTAGAACCCATGTCCTTATGGGTTAGTTACACAGCTGAAATAAGTTATTTCTGTACATTAGGAAGGATCATTAATTCCCAAATTAGGATCCGTGTTTTATCTCAAAGACTGAGATGAGAATCCTGGGCAGTGGACCCACTTCTCATTCACCAGATTTAACTCCCAAAGCCGTGGTGGGGGAGCATCCAGGCCTGTGTGTGGAGAAAAGAAGACATGATTCTATGCTTGATGTCGAGAATGGATGTGACCAAAACTGGCTCTGACTCAGAAGTCTGCTTGTCAAGAAATGAGTCTGAACTGACTGATCAGTCAACAGATAATATGCTTGAGGAGAAAGCAAGTTTAATTGGGAAGAAGTTTTCTTCCAAGACATTGCTGGGGATTTGCAGTCAGCAAACCGATTTCAAAAAATGAACCAGCCGTATAGTCACGCTTTATTTGAGCATCCAACCCAAATAGGGTATTAGCTTGCTCACTTCTTTGAAGTCACCAACAATTCTTAAGGAATTGAATAATTTTCTAAAAGTTTTTATCTGTGATGCCGAGTTTTCTAATCCAGAAGCCCAACTCAAAAATTTCCAAGAAAAATCCAGATAATTAATGCTTGAGTATTTGGGGTGTCAGGTAAAATTAGTATTTTCTATAAGAAAGCTAATTTTCTTGTTTTTTTCAATATATTTGGGGCTGTCTACTGGTATTACTTTCTGCTTTACAGAAAACGTTCCACTACAGCTGAAGTCTTGATTTCTTTTCTCTCATTTTTTATTTTAGAACCCTAAGAGATCATCAGTCTACCTGTTTTGTTTTCAGTAAAATGCAAATAGTGTATGTATGTGTGTATATATATATATATATATATTTAGAATAACTTAGTAAATAATGTATTGCTTATACAGTAAATTATTTATTTATACCAGGCATACATATTTAGAATTTGAATATAAATATTTTATAGTCTGTGCCACTGCTAACAAAAAAAATTTAAATCAGCCTGCTGGCAACTCTGGATTATACTGTACCTACGCGCCACATCATCAGAAACCTGCAAACAATCACACACCAGTACACACTTCCAGAGTTATTTGGAGGATTGTCCGTAACAGTCTTTGAAATCTTTTTCAGTTTTTTCGCTCTATGTACTGCCTTCAAGCTCTCACCCTTTCCTCTCAAGCTGTCTTTCTGTAGTCTAGTAGGTGTCTGATTAGTCCTTTATCAATCAACATGTATTTCTTGAGCACTGATTATATATAATGCTTGCTAGGAACTGTGAATGAATATTGGAGGAATATTAACTGTCGGCCTTTCTAGAAGAGTTTGTATTTGGCTAAGTTACATATATTAATATACTCCACAAAGCCCCAAAAATAAATAAATAAATAATGAAGATTTTAACAACCAGAACACGAAGCAATTGTTACAAATATTTTTGAACAGTGACAGTATTTGAACAAACTACATGGCTACCATTTGGCTACTGTGAGATTTTGTTAAAATATATTTGGGAAAGAACCTGTGTAACCTCTGGCTGTTCTTCTGAAGTAAACTTACTGAAGTACTTGAAGCTACTCCAATAACTTTAGTGAATTCACCATCCAGCAGCAACTGATATTATCATGCTCAAAAGGCAGAATGCAATTAGAAAGGGAAATTTACAATGATTGAAGAACCAAGAGAAGAATCTCTTGGTATTAAATATTTATAGTATTTAGAAATAAAGCACAGGAGAGAAGCAGAAAAAAATTCAAAATTACATGAAACCATAAAAATTAGGGGCAAACTGAATATTAGCTTATTTTTCAAGTCTTTGATATATTAGAACAGCTTTTTGAGGGCTTTGTGTTTTTTGAAACATGGGTAAGGTAAATGTTTTTTTCCTAAAGAATGCATA